CTATTTCTTTGTAACTGACCGAGTTTAAAATAAGTAACAACGAGGATGCTTAACATATTTCATATTTGGATTCTGTCTTTCGGGTAGACGACATAGAAGATCGTCTATGCGCGTTCGTGTCATAGTAACTGTCGCTGTTGCCTATTACGCAGGTAACAGTTTCAGCAAAAGAGACCAATCAAACATTGCTCTGATTTTTTAATATTTCGGTATCACTTTTACGGCTGTTATAACAGAGGAAAACTATTCCGATCCGGCAAACATTGACCCCCCGCAGATTTTTACATTTTGAACTTAGGACTCCTTGAAACATTGAGAAATGCAAAAAAAATTCGAAGGTAATTTCTGTTCTCATGGATGTTATTGTTTCTAGGTGATTTTGTTCATTCTCTCCGAAGCTTAATAACGTTTATGCTTTTTGTGAAATTTTGTAGGGTGGTCTGTTAGGGGGATTACTACTATTAAATTTTGGTGGTTAAAGGTCGAGAGGTGGTTAAAGGTAGGGAGATAATAGGGATCCAGTATATCTCCAGTAGGGTCGGCCTTAATAACGATTTTACTTGTCATTAGCATTTATCCTTCTTTATAAAACTCATTCCTACTTTCAAAATTAACTTGTTTGCCATTTTGTAATAGTTAAAAATATAAAAGCTTTTAATAAAACATGATAACAGATGGCGCCACCAGAACTTTAAAGGCTGCCGAGAAACTTGACCAACTCGTTGCTGGATTTTTTACATTTAAATGAACCCACATGACATTTCTGGATTCCTCCGTTTCAATAAATGAAAAATGACAGAATTTTATCAAAATCGACCAATTAAATTTTCAGAAAATTTATAGAACAAATTCAATTCTATATTACAAAATGTTCTAGTGACGTGAAACATCGCACGACGAAGTGCCGCAATTTGTGCGATATCGCTTTGTCGCGCGTACTCGTGAAACGACCTTATATCTGGAAAACGAAGTCGTGGATCCCTATCTTTAATTGTATTTTTGGATTTCACATCGTAATCAATGCAAAATGGCAAAGTTTCATCAAAATCGATCGAACCGACTTTGAGAACGATCACGATTCTGCAAGCCTCAGAATAGATTTCTTATAAAATATTTACAATGTAAATTATTAGGGGATAAGATCTATAATTATTATAATTGCAGTTGCCCTAAATATCTATAATAAAGATCACAGTACATATTGTTTATGCTAGTATCTTCGGAGTATTATTTTATTTAACTTGTATTAAATTCTTAAGTTTGCATCTAGTAATTTGATTTATAACAATTTAAAAATAGAGAAAAATTAATATTATCTTCAATCACTTCAATCCTGTTAATGAGGTTGATTATTTCTCACAGCTCACACTATCCGAGTTAATGACGTATAATTTTTATTGTAGTAACTGTTAAATATTGCATATTCATTTCGAGTTAATGTATTATCTTAGCCCCTCTTCAGTGCTGTTTAAAACAATATTACAATAATTAAGTTATAATACACAATATAAAATACAATAATATAGTTACTTACATAAGAGAGTAATTATAAGACGGGACGCCTGGCACTCAACTTGAGAAATGAAGTTTCAACATAAGTACACACACTTTTGTGAGGTCCCGCACAGGTCCCAACCGTCACGAAATCAGTTGATTTAGAGAAAAATTTAATTGTTTAGAAAGGTTAAAAAAATGTTTGTAGTCGGAGACCCTTTGTTTAGGGGAGACCGGGGCAACTTCGGCATGCGGGGCAAGTTTGTCAAGCTCTTTTTTTTAAAAACAAATTAAAAGGAGACTTTGGTTATAGGTTAGGCAGTTGAGTTTTATTGGTGGCTTGTTGAGTGTAGTGTTTTTATTGTTTCTCCAGCAAGCGTAGTTGAATTATCAAGCAAATTTTCATTTTCGTTCAATTCCATATAATATTTTTTTTCCATTTATATTGAATTGGCAGGTTTTGTTATAATTCCATGATAACGAAAGTTACTTTTCCTGTTAGAAGGATGTAACTTCAACTTATTCACGTGGCCAGATCGTGGCTTGGCATTCTGTTCTCAGGGTTGTACTTAATGTTTCGAAATCATGACTAGCGGGGTAAGATCGGCAACATAAAGCCACATTAGAAGCAAAGGATAAAAATCAAACAGATGATAAATGAAAACATGTTTGCATTTGTTATTCATGTATATATGTCTTTGAACTTGCATTTCGTTGTAATAATATTAAATGGGTGTTGGATTTGTATTTCTTTGTTTTAATAGTGAATTCCAACTTATACATTGTTAATAACATAATTTTATATACGTGCCTATCTTGCCCCATTACTGTTGCCCCTATACCAGGGGCAACTTTAATAAAAATAATTAAAATAATTACAACTTTACAAAAAGAGAGAAGTTGCCGATCTTGCCCCTATACCCGGGGCAACTTCGTCAATTTCTCTCTTCTTGTAAAGTTGTAATTATTTTAATTATTTTTATTTCCAAACTGATTTTAACCATATCTATAGTAAGGTAACATTCCAATAGACAATATGCAAAGCTTTTTTTTCAGTTTACAGCAGTATTTATTACACAAAATTTAAGTAAAGCTTAACATGCCGATCTTGCCCCGATCTCCCCTAAGTTAAAACTGAAATGCAGATTCATAAACCGTAGAAGGCATGTCGTTAGGAGTCCCGTCGCGTTTAGTAACGAGGTACCAACCATTCAGAAAGCGCGGATGAGGAAGATCAATAAATCAATCAATATGGCCGATCGAAAGATGAAGATTGATATAATCTTCGACAATTAAGGACACGTCGCACTCGGTCAGTTAAGTTCGAAATAACCGACACGTCGTGTGTCAATGCACAAAAAGCAGTTTCCTGCCAATTGTGTGTTGTGAACAGCTCTGCGTTGCCGGAAACAACTGTCGTCTGTCATGTGGATAACGACCAAGTCTATGCAAACCGCCAACTCGAATTTTCATCAGCAAACGGACACCCATCGTTGCTGCCCCGGGTCACATCATTTGCCGTCCACCTCAAACCTACAAAGGACTCCTCTTATCTACCGATCGATCATCGCATCGGAACACAACCTCGGATACGAACTTTTATATAGTGTGAGATCCGAGCTCCGAATAAGCCCAAAATTGTTCATTTTCCCCCCTAAATTTTCGACGTATTTAAAATAAATTTGTCGCCTCCACGTTAAAATAACATTGTCAGAAAAAAGAATCATATATCGATCGAAACTTATAACTTTCATCGTTAATATAAACATTCAACCCTCGAACAATGACATTCCTCTGCTGCAAGACAAAAAGTTTATAGTTAAAGTCCGAATTCGTCATTTTCTTTTGGTCCCGGGAACAACTTTGACCTCCACACCTGCAGGACCAACTCTATCTCACACAATAGGAGATCACCTGACTGAATTTCCTAGTCCGAAGCTATAAAAGCGACTTCTTTCCTCCTCCTCGGGGGAGTCTCACATCTACGGTCTAAAAGGATTAAGTCTCCGGGAAACTCGAATTCTGTGCCTACGTTGAAATCGACTAGAGGTATGAACAATTAATTGTAAACTCTCTCTCCGCGAGTTAGGAGCTAATAGTGAGATAAATTCATTTCCCCATGTTAGATTTTGTAACCTTTATTTTTTTTTCGTTAATCTAATAAATCGTTGTTTCATTGTTAAATGGTGTCCTTTTACTCGTATATCGCCTACGCCTTGTCGACGACCCCTCTCACCTCCTCCACTCGACCTGACAAAAAGTATCCCGACTCTTCGGGACCGCATTCGAAATTTAGCCATCTTGACAAGTGAACAGGTTTAACGACCTGTCGCCGAAAAGGGAGAGTCGACGGTTCCCGACCTCCCCGGCGGTTCACAATAGTGTTTCTTTGATTTACAATAAACAGTTTTTTGTTAGATACTTGTCATCATTATCTCCTCCGCCCTTAGTTCATCTTGACGCGGGATTTTTAAGACCAGGGGCTTGAGAATTAAATAAGCCCGAAATTCATATGAAAAAACAATAAAGGAGTTTTTGTAACCTAAATAGCTGTGGTATAGTCTACCGAAGTAATTCTTTTTGAATTAAAGAGAGATGTATATACAGAGTGATTTTAATAACTTCAAATATCATGATTAAAATATTGATTAATTTACTTATTAATAGACCTATATATATTTATATTACGAGTATTTCTTCCATTAGTATACAACATAAAGTTACCATTTTCGCAATATGTTCCGTTAAATCCCGGAGGACAGATACATTCACCGGTAATGTCGTGGCACACTCCGCCATTTAAACAATTCGAGCAGTTATATTCACATAGAGGACCATATTTTCCAATTTCGCATACTGAAATACCAGAAAAATATATCAGCTATAGGAATAACTAATATTAAAAGTACAATTTACACTTTCATTTTCTTCATTATATTCTTAACATCATACTAAATATACAACAAACTTATTACAAAAAAAAGACATCATGGTTATGTCTGTTTACGTATCCGTAAGAAAAGAAAATGAAAGAAAAATTATAATTCGAAATATACTACATACTACAATTGTACTTCGAACGTTCCACAGTTCTAACACATTAAATTCGAGAGAAAGTTATTTGTAATATCAAGGAAACGAAATATTAATGCGGCATGCAGTTACATTTTAATTTAAATAATAAAACTAACGATTGAAAAATTTGTTTTCTAAACATTCTTGAATTCTTTCAAATTGAATTGGTTTCAAATTCTATTGAGTTGATAGAATGAAGGAAATGCTGAAAATATTCATTTCAATTTCAATTGCTTGAATACGATATTTTGAAATTTAATGTATTGATATTCTATAAACAAAGGGAAATATAATTTCTGAAATAAAAATATACATACCTCTCACTATTAATCTGGTAGCCACTAAAGTTTTATTATTCTCAATTAAACTAAACAATCCTGCATCGGAAATACTAACTAGTATGGCCGCCTTGTAATATTTTCCTGCAACTTTCCCTCCATTTATTTTCAGTTTGTCGCCAATGTCAATATTTTTTAAATTTAACAATTCAGAAACATCGACATAATCTCCTTTACTTACTGTAACTGTAAATCTCTTGCTAATAAAATTAACTGGAAAATATAATAATAATCCGTAAATTCATCAATACTGTATTTTCAATTATAATAATTAAAGATATAATAAGATAAATTTTCAAACGAAAAATAATATTTCTTATAACTAATCCGAAATAAAAATAATTTTATTATTATTATTATTATTCCCAATTGTTTAGAACTGCTCTATTAATAATCTTTTATTTGTTCTTCTAAAAAAGAAGACGGAACCAAACAATATATAATATAGTATTTGACAGAACCAACGCACAATCTAATAAACATCATTTGGTTTTTACAATGATATGCAATTAGACTGTAATGTAGCACTCCACTTCAGTCATCAATCTCTTAAAACAGATGCACATAGCGTTACTGTAAGAAATGTCGGAAGGGATTTTTGCGATTATGGTAAGAGATCGATGTTACACATACTCGATTATGGTAAGAGTGTTACACATACTCGAAACGCATTATACAATTATCTACAAGCGCATTATACAATCCTCATCGTAAAAACTAAATAAAGTCTTTTTATCTTATCACGAGTTGCTTCTGTCTTCTTTTTAAGAAAAAATAAGCTGAATGGTTAAATTTCACTCATTGACAAAAATGTCTTGCACACAGATAGACTTCTTCGATTACGAAAAGCTAGACCTATCCAGATCTCTAAGTAACTAAGACAAATATGCAAATGATTGCAGTTGTGATCTGATTGTACTCCATTTAATGCTACCATAGTGTCTCAAACTCTTTACCTCGGTATCTTATAAGGCTAGCAGAAATTTACTGTGTTTTCGGTGTCGTGTTTAGATTTTTGAACGTGAGTCATGCCTGTACGATGCAGATGAAAGCCATCACGCACACCTGGCAGAGTTTGAGACAGATCTCATCATCGGTTCGAAGCAAGCAGAATGATCATTCCGCCGAAATTCCCGTCTTTTAGGCTCTTCTAACGTTACGCGTCCTTGCATCAAGACAACAAAATCGTCGACATTGTTTGGAATAGTATCTTTACAGAGAAGCAGTCTGCTACAGATCATCAGCGTATCGTCTTTAGTGACGAAATCCATCCAGTGGCCGATTGGATAAAGCCACTGAACATTGGTGGTTGGCCTGGGTTCTCTAGTTGATGGTTTTACAAAGTACAAAGATTTCTTTAAATTGTACCGTCGTTCCACTGGAAATTATTCATTGCTGTGATATTTTAATCACTTACTATATCGTGATTACGTTTGCGCTAATAAAGTTTCATTCTATTTCAATTTTTCCTTCTTGCAAGTTAGTGCATAACTTTTTTTTTTATCAGTGAGTGTATTTTGCTTTATTATAAAACGAACTTTACCATTTTTATTTATTGCTATAGAGAAGATATCAGAGAATGAACTAAATTGTGTTCGACACCAGAATCCAGTCCTTGTATTTACGTTGTTCCAGATCTTGGAATATTTTTTATATGATGGATTTTTACCTGGAAAAAAGTCTGTGTTAAATATTACACGTTAAAATATTTTATAATAGTAAAGTAAATTGCTTACTTAATTCTGTGTTTGAAAATGTTGCTTTCGTGTAATTCCCATTGGTAAAATATACCGATTGATTATAAGTGGCTAAAATTCGGCACTCTTGTTCGTGTTCTTCGTTTCCATTATTGAGATAATTATGATGGAGACTTATGACATCAAGCACTTTTTCTTTGAAAAAAATTAATTTATGAATTGTGTTTCAGCTATTAAATATTAACTATTGCAAATAATAGTAAGAAGAAAAAGTTATCTATTTTTAAGCATTTATAACCATTTAGTTTTTGCATATACGTTATTAGTTTAATTTCCTATAACCAATACTCAAAGTCTTTTTTATTCAGTATAACAGAGTGTAAATTCTGAAAAAAAATAAATATCTTGCTATATTTTCTTTTCTCGATTTTGTATTTGGCAGCAATATTTGATAAATTTTAAAGCACATTAGGATCTGCGTATATAAAATTTTACGTTATTTTGACTATTCTTGCGGAAATAATGAAGCGTTTCGAATTTTATTCAACTACTATAATTTCGAATTATTGTGTGAATACTGACAAAGTTTAACGTATTAATACTAAGCAGTTTACTTTTTATATGATTTATTCCTTTATCAATAGCTAATAAATAGAATTCATATTAGTTACTTTATCTAGGAGTGGAGTAAGAAAAAACATCTACCGTAAGATAAGATATTCATCAAGTGATGTATTGTACCTATACAGTACATTATCAACTCTTGTCCATGAGTACAGTAATGCCTCATACTAAGAATTTAATTCATTCCATTTAAACTCCTAAACGTGCGATGTCCGAATTAATTTTCCCATTATAATTAATGACAAGTGAATTAATTCATTTCTAAACCTTAAAGAATACTCATTTTGATAAAGTTAAAACAGTAAACACAGATAATATATATAAAAACGAATGTATGTATGCTGTCTGTCCTTCATGCATTACTACACCATTTATCCGATTGCCATGAAACTTTGGGAAGTTGTTTAATACACTCCCGCGAAGTTTTCTGGCATTTTCATTTAACAATGGAAATGTTAAGAGAAAGCAACGTGCAAGATTTACAGGCGCAAATACGGTTTTTTCAGTTTTTGCGGGAAATCGAACATAATTTTAGACCCATCTAAAAATTTTCTAATTAGTCTGCAAACGGGAACCCAATTCTTGCATTCTATGAAAACAAGTAAGATTGGCTGTGATGTAACAATCTTAATCTTCGCTACTGTTACTATTTGCCCAAGCAAAGCCGGGCTTATCTGCTAGTTTAAGATAAAAATTACACAATTAAATGCCCTAATAATAAGTTAAAACACGAAAACAATAAATAAAATACGGAAATACAGTCGACCCCCCTATAACACGGTAGATACGTTCCGTTCTTTATGAATCGATTTCTTACGAGTCCTTGCCAATCACAGCCCGACACGTGTGAAGTTTACGGACTACAGATGTTTGAAAGTTTTCTTCCATATAATTAATCGATTCTAGACTAATTCGACTCAACATTTCCAAAATACGTATATATATATATATATATATTGGAAATAATCCGTAAAAACTATGCTATAAACAAAAAATTGTAGGATTACTTACCGAGTGTGCACCATTCGACGTCGCCATTGCTTAAGCTTGTTTTCGTCGCGGAGCAGCGCACCAAACGGCGGCCGCGATTTCTGATAAGTTATTTTTCTGCGAAAACTTCGTTGAACTTTGGAGACATCATTAATATAAATAATTTTTATGGCCGTTGAATAAGAAATGTTTCTTTCACAAGAAATGTATAAAATTACAGTACTGTATTAGACTTACAGTATCTAATTTACATACTGTACAGACGATAGTAAACTCAACTTACTCACCTAAACTCTCTGTAACGTGTCGCTAGACGGCAGAAAGTATATATATAATTATAATAAAGTTACAATAAATTAATTTAATATATAATTATACATACAGTACCTAATTTTTATATAATTTATATATAATACTGTATAGACGATAGTAAACTCAATTTACCCGCCTAAATTCTCCGTAGCGTGGCGCTGGACGGTGGAAAGTAGTTTGGCTGCCCGATGACGTTTTACCGAATTATAGGAGTTTTTTTTACCAGGTTTGTACGGATACCGTCGCAATTTTTTCGCCGTCTTATAGGAACCGTAATTATAGGAATCCGTGTTATAGGGGGTCTACTGTGCTGAGTGACGAAATCAAAACTAAATTTATTGGTCGCACACCGTCAATTCGGACATCTTTAACAGAGTACACGACAACTGGGGGACGGTCAACTGGGCGATTCAAAATGGGCGACAAAAACTTTAAAATTTTTGCACGCTTAGCAAGCATACGATTTAGCGGATATTTTCATTTACAAAGTTTTATATAACGAAGTCACCAAATTTTGAAAAAAAAATTGCCTTAGGAAAATTTCGTTTTACAGAAATTACAATTTTTAGTAAATAAAGTATTATTTTAACGTAATTTTTTTTTACAGTAAGTTATTTTCACGGTTTGTCCGGCATTTCGGTTTATCCTGGGTTATCAGATACCATACCGAAATATCTGATATTTCGGTATGGTATCTGATTTCATGGTCTTCCCCGGATAAACCGAAATGCCGGACAATCCGCGAAAATACGGTACCTATGAACATTAAAATTTCGTTTACATCGTCGTGAACGAAATTTCTAATACTTTTTCTTGTACGTCTCGCATCGTCCGCTAATTTCAAAATTGATTCGCGATTTGTTATTATGGTTGATAAACTACTCACGGGAATTCTAAACGTTGCTACAGTTTTTAAGCCTTTATCAACTTCTCTCACACACTAATTTTTTTAGTATTGCTTTAACACTATATTAATATTATATATCTACTAGCAGATGGGCCCGGCGTTGCTCGGGCAAAAGTAACGATAACTAAGATAAAGATTATTACGTTACAGTCAACCTTACCCGTTTTCACAGAATGCAAGAATTGGGTCCCCTTGTTTCCAGACTAATTAGAGAACTTTTAGATGGTTCTAAAAATATGTTCGATTTCCCCGCAAAAACGAAAGAACTGCATCTGCGCCTGTAAATCTTGCACGTCGCTTTCTCTTAAAAATTCCATTGTTAAGTAACACTTCCATTGTTACCTAACACCGCCATTGTTACTTAACACTTCCATTGTTACTTAGCACTTCCATTGTTACCTAACACCGCCATTGTTACTTAACACTTCCATTGTTGATGGAAGTGTTAAGCCTTAATCCTGTCTTTCTCCCCCGGGGGGATTTTCGAAAAATCCCTTCTTAGTGTGCGTTCTCGTGACGTACCCTAACTGTGTACCAAATTTCAACTTTCAACTCCTAACCGTTTGGGCTCTGCACTGATTATTATTATTATCAACTCGTCTCGATTATATATATAGATTAAAACTTTCGTTTTCCGTTTTGTGCATACCAAAACAATTAAATAAATGAAAATTTGCATGTGTCATTGTTATAATGCGCAAGGGCGAGTACGAACTCTTGGTATAACAAAGAAATCTTATTCATTTCGTATTTGTTTTACTTTTTTAAAAGCATGTTTGCCTAAATTGTGGCCAATTGTAATGTTAGGCGTGATCAAAGTGGCCCGCGAAACAATTTAGGTTGGCCAAGCCTGACTTAAATAATAATTCTAAATCAGTTCGGCCTAGGGCCTAGGACAAACTACTTAAGCCTAAAGTATTTATGCCAAAGTAGATTGGCCTAGGCTAATCCAGTATATCCTGACACGCATAGGATACACTAGTTTGGCATGAAATCGGGTTTGGCCGGTAACATAATTCATAAGCAAAATTATATGTGCATAACTCCGGGTGATTTAAAACAAAGCAGAAATGTGTCTATAATTTTTCATATTTATTTTTTTCAATTACATTAGTTTTATATCCTAAGGATACAGTAAATTTTTTAATTCTGTCCATCTCTTTGAACAAAAATGTGAACATTAAACTTACACATGATACTCTGTATATTCCTTCTTGGTCAAATGACCACTTCGTTTATAAACTATCGGCATTTAAAGCATTAATAAGAAGAGCCTTCATCTATTGCTCCAACATACATGACAGGATAAAAGAGCTGGATAGAATTAAAAACGTTGCTGTATCCTTAGGATATAAAACTACTGTAATTGAAAAATTGATAAGAATTATACAAAGAAAGGGAATGATAACAAAAAACAAGAAAATAACTTAGTTTACGTATAACAAGAAATGACCGGTGTTATAACTGAAATAGCCGGCAACAAAGACCCCGAAGTTAGTTTTCAAGAGAGCGCCCACCATTTATAGTCTGTTAAGGCAAGGTTAAAAAAGGAGAGCAGGCTGGAGTATACGAAATCCCGTAGAAAACTGAACAATTGAGTTTGCAGAAAGAATACAAAGAGGTTACATACAGAAACCTTAGTAAATGTCTTAAAGAACATATGTATAACATAGAGAAAGGGTAGTATTGTACGACTTTGTCTAGAATGGCGCAAAGCGAAAGATCAGTGGTAGATTGGGAGGTAGCTAGCATTACAAAACCGCCACACTCACCAACATTAGCGATGAATTTGGAAAAAGTTGAAATTTATAGAAGTAACCTTTTGGGCAGATGTATAAACTATAAGGATGCCACAGTATTACTCACGGCGTGGAAATATATGGTTGAAAACAACTTATTAGAGAATAGTGCATAATGTCCATACAATTAAAAACTGATATTGTGAATGTAATTTTTTTTTCTTTTGTTTTTCTTTTTCTTTTTATCTATTTCATTATTTTGTTGTTTTAAATTGTATTTTAACTTGGAAATAGCGGGTAATTAGACAGATTTCTAAAGACAGTTATCATGCCGCTTTTAAATGTGAATTAAGACTTAATGTTAATTACTATTTTTATGTAAATGAAAATTATTCATTTAAATGACTATTGTTGTAATCTGCTGCCATTTTAATTAATAACGACAATACTGTTTTATTCAATTCACAAAAAATATATACAAAAGAATTCGGTTAAGTGGCAAGTAATATGTCTACAGAATGTTTACAAACGCCACTTCAAATTACGTGATTTTTTCCGCTTAAATTTAAAAAATCGCCTGGTGACTTATTATAATAATACAAATTTAAAAAAAAATTGAAGAAATTTCAATTTTAAGTCTAAGTCAAAAAATTTAATTTTAGTTACATGTTAATACGTTCAAATCCGGTTTATTTCATAATTTACCAAAGATTTCATATTATCGAGTCTTTGATTATTTCAGCTACACCTTCATTACATTAATTTAAATAGCTGAGAGTCTATATCTTATTCTTCATTGTTAAATATATGGGAAACCGTAACCGTTGTTAATAAATGCGTACCCGTATTCTACACACAAAAACTAAAGTCCAATAAACAAACCATAAAATGCATAGAAAAGCAGTTAGAGCCTAGTTTATTTTCGTGTCTTGTAACGGACACTTTGTACCGTACATGTGCTTGGTCGAGTGGCCAGTGCGCGAAGCTATTGTTCATGGAATTATGACTAAACACCCCTAAGGCAGAAGCCCCCTAGCCACGGAAACGGAAGTCGTTGCGAGAGTAACCCTGCGCGGTACGAGAGGAACCGCAGGGTCAGACACTTTGTGGTTTGGTTACTTGTTGTTAGGACGTCGAAGTGCGAGAAGTAAGAAGAACGAACGTATACCCCAGAATAGATTTGAACTTTGGGGTACGGACTCACCACCTTGAGCTTGTGCCTGGCTAAGATTCCCGTTAGCCGTAACATGTCTAAGGAAAGATTGTAGCAAGGAAGCAGCTTGATCGGAAATTTCTTGAACGATGAATAGAAAAGGACGAACCACTCGACTACGGCCAGATCGGACTAAGTTAGCTGATTTAAATTCTCTTAATTTTTATTTTTTGGTGTCATTTAAAATCCCTTGTATACTCCGTGTCAGTCGCAACTACGGATCGAGAATACTGATACAAATTAGTATGGAAATTTACAGCGTGGCAGTCAATGTTACGACTAGGATTTGGTAAAATTCTGTATTTTCAGACTCGATCAGTCCGAGTCGAGTCGACATTTTAGAGTTTATGTTTAATGTTGAAATTCTACATATATATGTTCACATTTTTTAAACTTTGATAGTCTATATAAAATACATTCGAACAAAGAAAAATCTGTATACTGTATTTTAAACAAAATCCGAATACGATATTTTTGTCTAGTTTAGTTATTGTTTATTTTCAACGAAAATTTCCTTCAAATAAAATTAAATAGAATTAAGTTCAATTGTCTTTATCCATTTTTTAACGTCACACTGTGTTTTTTAAAGGAGGAAAGTCATAAAATTATAAGTCAACATAAAATTATATATGCCTCTCGCTTAGAAAGTTTTTTAATCGGCTTATATCTGATCGATGAATCTTAAAGAGTCTTAAACAACAAATTTATTTTATATAATTTGGGTTTTGAGATAAAACTTATTTGGATTATATTTGTTTTCTGATATAAAGAGCCTTCCACAGTAATGCAAAGAAAATACTCTGAACATCGAAATAAGTTCTGAGACGTAATCTAATTATGAGCTAGACACCGAATAACTCGAAAAGTCCACGGCCAACTTAATATTAGAGAGGTTGCGGCCGACGTTTTCATGGGGAAAACGTGTACGTCGGACATTCAGCACCGCCTTCCTGTAAGCCTAGGAGTTTGACAATGGTGTTTGGAATGTCGAGCGTGATTCCACTGACTATCAAAACACCATTGTCAAACTTCTAGGCTTACAGGAAGACGGCGCTGAACGTCCGACGTACACGTTTTCGCGATGAAAACGTCGGCCGCAACCTCTCTGTTGAAGTTTATATATGGCATCTGTATGTAAAATTTTTCTGAATATTCATCGCCTGGCTCCGATTATTAAGAACTATAAAAAAAACCGTTCTAAGGACAACATTTACTAAAAATAGAAATTCGATTCAAACAAAAAATTTAATCATTACAAAAAATCTTTAAAAAAAGAGATTCCTCAAAGATAATACAAACAAATGTGTGTGTATTCCAATCCAGTCCTTTCAAACGCACATGTCAGGAATTAAAAATGTCACGGCGGCAATTTCTATCTCAAATAAAGTTTAAATTTAGAAATATAAATCTGTTGAGAAATGTAGTCTTTCGAATAGTACGAGTTACTTCGAATAGTCTTTCGACTAATATTAAACTGATATTGAAAAAAACTAATCACCACTATAAAATTGATAGGAAACGTTAATCGTAGAATATATGAACTATTTATATTAATTCTATGTTAATTTCTAAATACAAGATATATACGTAATACTTATATTAATGAAATATATATTGTTATTATATGTAAATTATAATCTTAAAAATATTTACCTGATACTCGGGGATTAGTAAAAACGAAATATTTGGTGGAAGGGTAATATCTATAAAAGAAAATAAAGTATTTATACAGAGAAAATTGCAATATTTATTATATTTTATTTAGTTTATTTTTAATAATAAAAAATTGTTTACACACATTCTTATAAAATTAATTTTTACAAAAAGTATGTATAAATAATATACGACCGAACAACGTAACTGTGTTTTAGTTATGTATTTGCAATTACTTTATTGTATAATCATAAATATATTTTTCGATCTACAAACCCACGAATTAAAAATAAAACTATGAATTCACTCGTATATCAAAACTAAAAATTAACACATTAAATTTTAAAATTTACTTTATTTTCTGAAATTTATACTTGCCGTTATAGGTAATTTTAGTGTAACAACAAAAATACTGAAGTCAATTTTTTATTGTTTCTTTTACAAGTTTATGTGACGATTTCAACGGTGGCTTTTTTTCATAAAAATTTAGGATATTAAGAAAATAAAAATAAGATCTTTTAACCGTATTTTTATTTTATTAATACCCTAATTTTTTTTATTTGAAGGAAACCATGTCTACTGGCAGAAGTTATAGACTCTCCCAGAACTATTTCTGTTAATTTCTGTATCCTTGTCTACTTGGACTTTGTTTAGTAATACGAATTATTATACTGGTGTGGTTTTCGATTGGCAAATAGAAGAGATTTTAGTCAAAAAGACGAAACAAAATTTGTTTTATTTTTGCCTGAAATTCAGATGAAAATAACGGTCTGCGTATCAACCTTGTGTTTGTGGTCAATCTGTGTGTTGGTTCTCACACTGTGTAGTTTTAAGATTTTATGGTTGTTCGAACCCTTTTAATTTCACCCTTTTTANAAGTATTTATACAGAGAAAATTGCAATATTTATTATGTTTTATTTAGTTTATTTTTAATAATAAAAAATTGTTTATACACATTCTTATAAAATTAATTTTTACAAAAAGTATGTATAAATAATATACGACCGAACAACGTAACTGTGTTTTAGTTATGTATTTACAATTACTTTATTGTATAATCATAAATATATTTTTCGATCTGCAAACCCACGAATTAAAAATAAAATTATGAATCCGCTCGTATATCAAAATTAAAAATTAACACATTAAATTTTAAAATTTACTTCATCTTCCGAAATTTATACTTGCTGTTATAGGAAATAGTAGTGTACAAACAAAAATACTGAAGTTGATTTTTTAATGTTTCTTTTACAAGTTTATGTGACGATTTCAACGGTGGCTTTTTTTCATAAAAATTTAGGATATTAAGAAAATAAAAATAAGATCTTTTAACCGTATTTTTATTTTATTAATACAGTAATACCTCGATTTACGGTACCCCGACTTACGCGAACCCGGAGTTACGCGATTTTCAAATCTTGTTGATTCGTCTTTTGTTTGAGCGCCACACAACTCTTGATTACTCATTCCCCCCACACTATTGTTCAGCTTGCATGTTCGGACGTATCGCACGGAATCGACATATAGCTACAATTTATTTTCTGTTATTTATTTGTGTTTGTTATATCTACGGAGGCTTGAGAGACTCTATGTGGTGGATTCTTGTAACCGTGAACAAATCAAAAGACGAGATAAGAATAACGAGAACATTTATTAGCTTACATACATCCGATTTGGATTTTATACAAATTTCGAAATTATACCCCGACTTACGCGAATTCGACTTACGCGGTTATCGCTCTGTCCCACCTATCGCGTAAGTTCGGGGTATCACTGTACCCTAATTTTTTTTTATTTGAAGGAAACCATGGCTATTCGCAGAAGTTATAGACTCTCCCTGAACTATTTGTGTTAATTTCTGTTTGAACCTTGTCTATTTGGACTTTGTTTAGTAATACGACTTATTATACTGGTGTGGTTTTCGATTAGTAAATAAAAGAGATGTTAGTCAAAAAGACAAAACAAAATTTCTTTTATTTTCGCCTGAAATTCAGATGAAAATAACGGTCTGCGTATCAATCTTGTGTTTGTGGTCAATCTGCGTGTTGGTTCTCACACTGTGTAGTTTTATGACTTTATAATTGTTTGAACCCTTTTAATTTTACACTTTTCTAAAATAGGTTTTTAAACTCAATTCTATATCGGTTTATTTGTTTATTTAACTTTTTAAATCTTATCAATTGTACTTTTATCCATATACAGGTTTTTAAATATATCCAATTTAATTGCCCAATCTGTGTTAAATAAATATAATAAACATCCCAAAGCCTGATGCACTGATACTAAACCAAATGATCACCATAATTAATCAGGCTATTATTTTGTTGTTATTAATAATTACACATTAAGTAATTTGGTATTAGAGGTAGACGTTAGGTGCCATCTCTTATCTAAATTAACAATTTATTAAATAATTTAGAACAGTTCTAAATTACTTAATAAATTATTATAATTATTAATTTAGATAAGAGATGATACCTAATGTCTACCTCTAATACCAAATTACTTAATGTGTAATTATTAATAACAACAAAATAATAGCCTGATTAATTATGGTGATCATTTGGTTTAGTATCTGTGT